TTTCATCATTAAGAGTACTTTCTGTTTTTCATTCATAATGTTGAAAGGTATTTGTATCGAAGAAGTATATAAGATGTTAATAACTAAGAAGGTTTGATGAGGTTTAAAGATATATTTGTAGGATTTCTTGTGTTTTATTTATTGTTGAAGAGTTTTGCAAATCTCTCACACCTATCAAAGTTATATTTATTGCTATTCTTTTACTTATACTAGAAAAATAATAACATCTATTTAACTATAATGACAATCTACTTATGGTTTTCATGCAGATAATGAAAAAGTTCATCTCCTATATTAGAATATTGGGTAAAGTAGGTTATTATTCTTTGCAATTGTGCAAAAAAGATGCAGTCATATTTAAATCCGTTTTATAATGATTTGTCTGTTATCAGTTTTATTTATTTTATTTCAACCAGGTGTAAGGAAAAACCCATTTGATGATCTTCATGACAATGTATGTATTTTTGAGTAAGGAAAACTTTTTGTTACTTATCTAAATATTTTTAGTAAATATGTTTGTTCTTGTGGTAAAAAAATAAATTGGAGATGAGGAGAAAACTAAAAGCAACTTTGAATAGGAAGAAGTTGGAAATATCATTAAAAGGCTAGTCAGTATCACTCTACGTAAAGGAGGTAGAAACATGATGGTAATTGTTCTATTTCGTCTCTTAACAATCCTATATTATTGTTTATATTTGATAAAATGACCAAGTTTATTAAATTCTTTTATTTGGGATTTTGTATTTCTTAGTTTATTTTAAATCTTCTTTAATAAATGAAGATTTTTTTACCACATGTTATTTTCTCATTCATTTTAATACTTGTTATTCTGTGAGAATTTTAGAAATTTTATTTTTCCCTTGTCATTTTTTAGGAATTTCTATTTTTTCTAAATAAAATTCCATAAAATTGTAATAAGTTTTATAAGAAAACAAAATCATCATATTAATTTGGTATTAAATTCTCATAAATACTTCAAACGATTTAATATCTTTTGCAAATTTTCAGAAAATCACATTCTGTTATGTAAGTATTATATTATAAAATATTTTATATTTATGTATTGATATTAAATTTTTATTTTTAATAAACTCATGTAATACATAGATCTCTGATCTAGTAGAATAATAATTCAAGAAAGAGTTCAAGATGAAAGTAACGATAGATAGATGAATTTGGTATTCCCCAGCTATCGATGTAAGGGTGAAATAGTTATAAATTAACTATTCTCAGCTCTAATTACCTAAAACAAGAAATAATGGGTAAAATCTGTGACTACTTATTAGTGTAGGGGGCAATTTTGTAACTTACAATTTCCTTTACCGTTTTCTTTTACTTTTTCTGTAATTATCTCACATGACAAAACCCCCCACCTGGTTCCAAACCCTTCTTCTCTCTCCAACGACGGACATCACCGGCGACACCCTACGGTCAGTCACCGGAGCTTAGTTTGCGTCGGAAAATATATCTACTGTTCCAAAAGTATTTCAATCGTGGATTGAAGTCTGAAGAATAGATGGAAACAATGGATGGACCCGTTCCGGAAGTTCGAACCGAAGGCGAACCCGCTGTTGCGGAGCAATTAGGGCAAAATGTTGATCAGATCATCGTGAAGGTTGATGAGGTACGCTTTTTGTTGCTGAATCTTCCGATTGTATAATTTTCCCAGTTTATATACACTCCATCTTCGTAGGTTACATAAGAATGACGTATGGTTTGTAATTGATGACGATCAGTTCCTCTTCTGATTGTTTCGGAGACCTTGTTTTAAAACAATTATAAGTTAGAAACGGCTTTGTCTTTTGCTCCTTAGTACGTGTTCTTTTATGAAAAGACAACCCAATTTATAGCATTGATGCGATATTGACGGATTATCAAACGTCATCTGCCTCTCCATGAGTTCTTACGCTACTGGGAGACATGCATAGTCCAATTTGCCCAAAAATGCTGACCTAATGTTGGAATTTAAGACATTTCGAAACCCTAATTTTAGGTCTTGAATGTTTTCCCCCAATTCATGCTCCTGTTCTTGAATCCTAGCTATTGTGAGCATCGTCAACCAAAGAGAGTACTTTATTTCATCCTTGATGGAAGCTTTTAAAGCTTTAATGGCTTCTATGCCAGACAGTTGAGCTAAATAACAGACAACTTGGTATCTTCATCATGAGACATTAATGGTAGATGACATTTCATAGTCCCCACTTTTTTTTTTTTTTGTGATTTCAAACATAAAACCATTGACTTTTTCTGTTTTTCCACAACCATTTCTTATTTTATTGCTACTCTGAAATTATAACCACATAATGATATTGATGCCATAATTTTCACATCAATGAAGCATAAATGAATTGTTTCAATCTTTTTTTCCTTCTTTTTGCTTCATTTTAGTTTGACATGAAACAACTAATATGCACAGCTTGAGCAAAGATTAAACGAAGTTGAGCAATTCTATTCAAAGCCAGGAAAAAAACAGTCAAACACCTCTAAAGCAAGTTCAGTGATGAAAGAAAAAGATAAAGATAAACAAATAACCAGCTTTAAAAGACGCCAGCTGGACGCATCACGCAGAGAAGCAGCTGCTACAAAAAGAATGCAAGATCTTATGCGACAGTTTTCTGTATTATTACGCCAGCACATCATATATCCTTTCTGTGAACGCCACATCAGCGCCATGTCAACAAAATTTGCCACATAGTAATTTACTAATTTCCCCCCCAAAAAAAAAATTAGCCTTTTGCAACATTACATGAAATCTTTATAATGGTTATTGTTTGGTAATGGTCTCATTTTTAATAATTTTATGTATTTCCATATTTACCCTTCCTTAACTATCTTCATTTATACTGGCCACAAGTGGGCTGGACCATTTATGCAACCTGTGGATGTAGTAGGGCTTGGTTTGCATGATTACTATGAGGTAAATCTTTATGATGAAATAGCAATGTAGTTTTTAGATATGCTATTTTATAATTTATACAAGTTTTTGTTGATTTAGTTTATAAAAATTTAGGTTATTGAAAAGCCAATGGACTTCAGTACAATTAAGGCCAAAATGGAGGTGAAAGATGGGACAGGGTATAATAATGTGAGAGAAATATGTGCAGATGTGAGATTAATTTTTAAAAATGCTATGAAATATAATGATGAAAGAAACGATGTTCATGTCATGGCCAAAACTTTACTCGCAAAATTTGAGGAAAAATGGCTCCAACTTTTGCCAAAAGTTGACGAAGAGGTAAAAAAAAAAAAAAAAAAATTGGTCCCAAAGGTTATAAATTTATCTTCTTTGAGTTTTAATTGGTCGAGGGTATTTTGGTAAATTCACTTGTAGGATGAAAGACGAAAAAAGGAAGAAGCAGAAGCACAGTTAGATATCCAACTTGCTCAAGAGGTTTCTCATGCCAAAATGGCTAGAGACTTAAGTGCTGAAGTATGTTAAAAATTCGGAGCCATTTTATTAAATTTAATATAAATGATGAATTTAGGATAATATATATATATATATTTTTTTATTTTTCATTTTCAGCTTGAAAAGGTTGACAAGAATCTCAAAGAACTTAGAGAAGTTGTCCTCAGAAATTGCAGGTTTATTTTCATAAAATTCTTTTATTATTATATATTTAATAATTAATATAACTTTTAGATTCTAAAAGTCGAATACCATTTTAGGAAAATGTCTACAGAAGAAAAGAAAGCGCTAATGACGGTTTTGACCCAATTATCCCCCGAAGACCTAAACAAGGCGCTGCTAATTGTCGCCCAAAATAACCCAAATTTTCAAGCAACCGGTCAAGAAGTTGACCTCGACATCGACGCACAGGTAAGGGCATTTTCGTCTTTTTGACATACAAGAATTCAATAACACGTCAACATGGAACAAAAAGCTACAACTTTTGTCCTACTCACATCAGTGAGGAGTCTCAGTCCAATGCATACCAAATACATTACAACCTGTTCTGTGCTGTTCTGTTTTGTACTGTTTTATACTGTGTGAGTGTTGATGTTTTATGTTGTGACATGTAGAGTGAGTCAACGTTATGGAAGTTGAAGTTTTTTGTGAAAGAGTTACTTCAAGGGCAAGGAAAGAGTCCGACAAGCAACGGTGGAAACAGTACGATGAACAACAACGTTAATCAAAACAAAAGGAAAAGAGAGAGTATTGATGCACAAGCCGCCAAGCCGCCTGCTCAAAAAAAGAATAATAAAAAGCCTTCGTAAATCGTAATTGCTCTTGTTCCTTTTTGGTTAAATCTGTGATTATGTGAATAATAATACACTTCGCTTAATTCACTTATTGTACCTTTTCTTTTAAATAACAAAGAACCCACTAAACTTTCGGATTTCTTTTTTTTTTTTTTTTTAGTTTGACATTTTTCTTACAAGTCATATTATATTATTATTATATTATATACATATTGTAGATTTTTACGTTTGATTTCATATGTTCACTTTTGTAATGCTGGACCCTGTACTCGCCGACATGAGGACCAATAGTATTATTTTAGCGAAACTAGTAGTAAATTAATTATTATATATATGAAAATAAAATAAGATTAAATAAACCATTTTTGGTCAATTCTTGTAGCTACTATTTTATGATAAAAAGTACAAATAATAAATGCATGGGTTTTTGAATGAGTTTGGTGTGTTTGGCAATTACCTTCTAGCTTTTAACAAAAAAAAAAATTGATTTAAACAAAAAAAAAAACACTTGTATTACAAATAAAATAAAAGATACAACTTTCAAACCAGTTATAAGTTTGCCAAGGACGTTAAATGAATATCGATCGCTTATCAACTTTACGCTTGAAATATATAACGAAGGAATAGATTTGACTTGAAAAGATTCAGAGAGATCCAATATATTAATAATTTATTTTCGATCAAAAAAAAACTTTCAACAATAATATAAATGTGTTCAAATTTATGAATTTATCAATCGTGACGTTCTTTGTCGTTTACATATTAAAAAAATACGCGTTATTTGAAAAATAAAAATAAGAGCACTAGTAAACGTTTAATTTCCATCCAAAATTTTAGTTTAAACAGATCATATCGATATCGTATTATAGATGATACGATCAAATCATTAAGACATTCATTAACGAAAACAAGAACAACATAGAGGCTATATATAACCAAACCGAAAATGGAAGAAAGTATTGATTCCGATGTGATTTGTACATTACGTACATGTACTCTTCTTCCCCAATTACATCTGAATCCAACGAGCAAGCTGTGTAGGATTCACGATTCCAGGTATACGAGCTCCTCCACCTCCATCGGGTTTCATCATCAGCAAACTCGTGATCTCTTTGTAAGTTTCATTTCCGTTCGCCTCTGTTTTCCCTCTCACCGCAGCTCCTCCGTCGAGCTTCTGTCCTAATAGAGTTCCTTTCGTAAGAAACTCGTGAGCCATGTAACCAGCTAAAAGTTTGTTCGATGACATCGCTTCCATTCCTTTACTTCCTTTAGAAGCCGTAGATGAGGCAACTGTCGCCTGTGTCAGCTTCTGTGGTGGTGGTGGTGGTGGTGCTAGTGGTGATCGTTTCGCTGGATAAACTGATTCCCTCTCCTTGCGCTTAAATCGCGATGCTCCAGGCATCAACATTCCGTATCGCCGTTGGTCATTCATCGTCACACAACGTCAACTCCGATGTGTGCTACTTCCTCTCCGAAATGCAGAAAGTGTTTTCCGGTGGACTGGTGAATTCGTCGTCGGAGATATCGACTACACGAAAAAACATAGAGAAACAGGGAAGGGCTAAAACGGTAATTACGCTTAGGGTGAGGGATAAAATTGTAAATAGAGAGAGAAGGGGGAGAAAAGGGTTGTGTGAATCAAAATCAAATTGAATTTTTAGGGTTTCAGCAGAAACTGATAGATCCGGTACATAGACGGTAGTTCCAAGGGCAGCCGCGGTCGATGGGGACACCGGACGACGGCGGAGAGATGAATTGGAAGAAGGGAGACGAGAGGCGGTGGAAGGGCGGAGATCGGTTGGGGAAAACTGGTGTGAGATTGGGGGGTTTTTATATAGAGAGATGAGAGAGAAGCACTCGTTTGGCATGTCTTTATATATGTTTATGAAATAAATAAGTGCCCTTAGGAGTGTTTAAAATTACGAGACTTGCCATTATAGGGAAGCGGTTTTTTATTTTGAGTGGCATTTAAGTAATTATTGAGGATAAAATGGGTGAAGTGTAGGTGACGAGTGGGAGCAGTTTGGGTTTTGTAGATTTTTTACAAATTACAAGTATGCAACTATTTACGCTTTTGGATTTTATATATATAACGTGGTATTTGTTTAACAAAATGAGTGGATAATGTAACGTGTCAAAATTTATAATTTCATATGCGATAAAATGGATTGGATTGAGTAAAGTAGTATTAAAAAATTACATGAATATGGATTATTGAATAAAGCAATTTGATAGATTTGATAGATGGATGATAAAAAATGAATTACACTTTAAGAGATTGATTATATTTGGGCAAATCGCTAAAATGATTATATAAAGCAATTTAACCTCTCAATTGGTTAGTTGTGAGTTTGGAAATAACAAAGAATGTGGTCCCAATATTTAAATCTTTATTCAAAACATTATAAAAGTTTTTCGCAACTTAATTTTGAATTCTACTACAGCAGATTCGTAACTTTTTGATAAATATGTTTATTAGCTTATATTGTTACAAAAAATGTATAAAAAGTGTTTGGACTTTTTGATAAATATGTTTATTAGCTTATATTGTTACAAAAAAAATGTATAAAAAGTGTTTGGATTATTATATGTGGTTGTCAAGAAGTTATGAATTTATAAACTTTTTTAGTGTTTGGATTAATGTGAGGTTGTCAAGAAGTTATGAATTGATAAACTTTTTTAATGTTTGGATGAGCTTATAGTTATTTTTAAGTGAATAAGTTATAAAAACTTTTTAAAATGTTATAATTTCTAACTTATTTTTCTATACTAGTAAAAAAGTAGTTTTTTTTTTTTTTTTTTCCTTCATGTGTTACTATGTTAGGCATTGTAATTAATATCATGTCACTTGTTAATTAATTGATTCTCCATTTCAAATTTTAAATTTCAAAATTTAAATCACATTTAATTACATTAAATTAATAACATTAAACTAAAAATAAAATAAAATTTATACAAATTATAATAAAATTAAATTTATACAAATTATAAGATGATATATTTTATGTATTTATTTGAATCAACGACTATAATTTTATATATAACTAAAAAAATATCTCTTAATTAATAAGTTATTTAAAATAATTAATTAATAGTTTTGAGTTTTTACTTAGAAAGTTTAATTAATTTTTTAACTGTGTTTCCTATGAGTTATAAACTAGTTTAAAATAAAAAATCGAAACAAAACACTTATTGAGAAATGTTTAGTAATTTGCCAAACAGTTTTTTAAACTTATTGTTTTTTTTTAATAAATCAATAAGCACATTTGAAACTCAATTCCAAGCACCCTTTAACCGCACTATATTCATGAATCTAAGATTTTCTCGACTCAACTCTATATTAGAACTTGAAAAACGATCTTGAAACTTATCTTCTTTTTTTTTTTTCCAGAACTTATATTTATGAAGTTTGTATATAAAAGTTGTGTAATACTAAAGAACATACTAAGTTAGATATAAAGTGGGCTAGAGCAATTTTTCTACGTTAAGAGCTAAGTTTAAAATTTCATGAATGACAACAAATTCTCAACTCACTTTCTCATGCCTATTTTCTTTCTTAGATTTGGAAAGTTGTTTACACCTAACAGAAACCATATTACATGCTTAATATTGAGTTGCGCACTTGGTTATTCACTATATTTTATGTTGCAATCCATTCGGTATCAATAACAATTTCGCAACTTAATTTTTATAATTTTATTATTTCATCAACCTCTCATCCATAAGTAGGGGTGTATGAACCGTTCATCAGCAATATCATTTATGTTCGTTTATATAAAAAATGAACAAAAATGAACACAAATTCTCGTTCATTTAGTTAAATAAACGAACAGGAAGCTTTAGGATAAGCTCGATTATCTTAATATTATTCCGCACTCTTTTTTTTATTAGAAAAGCTGGTAATGGAAGAAATACTCGTTTTTGGAAGGATATTTGGATTGATAATGTGAGGCTTTCTTCTCATTTTCCTAGACTTTTTGCATTGGAGGAGGAGAAAGATTGTTTGGTGGCAGATAGAAGGAATGCAAGTGGTTGGGTTTGGAGATGGAGTCGTCAATTACGTGATGGTGGCAGCACGGCCTCTCAGTTCTCGGCCTTGATCAGAGTTCTTTTTCATGTTACGTGCATTGATCGGGAAAATAGTTGGGAATGGGGTGTTGATCCAGATGAAGGTTTTACTGTTAATAACACTAGAAAGTATATTGATTCGATTTTGTTGTAGGAAGGCATGATTCAGATGCAATGGTGCAGGCTAATGCCTATAAAAGTTAATATTCATCTTTGGAGAACCATTCTTTCTAGACTTCCCACTCGTTATAATTTGGCTTATAGTGGTGTAGACATGATTTCAGTACCTTTATGCTCTACTCAGATTGAAGTCTGTAGTCATGTGTTTGTCGGTTGTGATGTGGCAAAGAAAATTTGGAATAAAGTGATTAAGTGGCTTGATCTCCCTTTTCCTTTGTTTGCACTACTAGAAAACAGCCCTTTAATGACGCACAAACAATGACACTCACTGATAGAGGACGTGCATTTGTGCGTGTCTTAAAAAATAATGTCAGTTTTGCAAAATTTGAAGGATAGAAGACACGCATTTGTGCGTGCCCTAAAATTAGTGTCAAAAAAGAAAAAAAAGGAAATGCGGAGGCCGTCTTTCGTCTAAATGTGTCGCTTTATAACATTTTAATGAAACACGCGTTTTTAAGGCGGGATTTCACCCGCCTATTGAATCCCTAAAATTAAACCCCCCGCGCTCTTCCAATCAGCAAGAAAAAGCCCTAGGTCTTCATCTTCATGCTCGCCGCTTAAGAGAACGGTACCGTTGATATCTCTATTGAAGCTGTAATTGTCGATGATGACGTCAAGTTTAGATTCCAAAGGCAGGAGATGTACACCGAGAATCTCTCCGGAAGATGTCGATGATATCTCTACTGAAGATGTGGTAGTTGTGATGGCTATCGTCGTTTCCCTTGTTCGCTCTTTCCATCGTCCCCTATGTTCTTTTTCATCTTCCACACCTAAACATCTTCTTAAATATCACATCTGTCCCTTCTGGTCTCCTTCTTTTTTATTCTGCCTACCTCATCCTCCTCTCAGCACTCTCCTCCCACTCCTACTCACCTTCGCTTTCCCCGTCACCGCTCATCGCCGCGATTCATTTTGCCCCGCCACACTACCATCCTCAATGTTGACGGTTTCTAATGATAATCCTCTATTGAAGGACTTCATGTTCCCTCCGTTTGATGCAATTGATGCCTGTCATGTGCGCCCTAGGATGCGTGCCTTGTAAGTCTGTGTGATTGATTGTAAATTTGTGTTTATTCGATTGCTGATTTGGGAAAAAAACATTGCAGGACAGCGATTTGGTGGAATTGGAGAAAACTGTGGAGTCGTCATGGCAGAAACTGGTGGAACCGTTAGAGAAGATGTTGGATCGGTTGAGTGTTGTTTGGGGAGCTGTTAATCATCTTAAGTCTGTTAAAGATACTCCTGAACTACGTTCAGCTATTGAAGAAATCCAGGTTTATTTCTATTACTTTTTGTTGCTTTTGAAAAGACAATATCTATACATATAATGACGTCTGCTTATGAGCATTTATACGTGTTTTCATTTTGAAGGTAAAACTATAGTTGATACAGTATATTATAGAGGAAATGGATGTTGTGATCTTCTGACTTTGCTTAAATCTTGTTGCAGCCTGAGAAATTCGAATTTGACTTGAAATTGGGTCAAAGTAAACCTATATACAATGCTTTTAAGGCTATAAGGGAATCACCAGACTGGGCAGGACTAAGTGATGCTCAGAAGCGAATTGTTGAATGTAAGTATCTTCAAGTTCTTCTGATTGTCAAAGAACAATGGTTATTTTATTGTGCTTATCAGTTATCACTTCAAGTTTATTGTGTCCAACTGATAAATGTTTGTATGATTATGATGTAAACCAACTATCTCCAAGCTCTCTGTTCAATTGTTTGTTGATATCAACTGAATCATGGTGTTAGCAATCTTTTACATCAACCACATAGAAACTGCATAACTTCTTTAGAGTCCAAGAACCAATGTGCTTTGCAATTATCAACCATATCCCTAAAGCTTTTACTTGGTTTTTCACCATATTAATCAGACCTTTAATAAGCGTTTGCACCTTTTTAAATTTTTTATTATGACCTAAAGTTTTTGGGTGCTTCTATTATGCAACACCATTGTCCCAATTGTCTTTATTTCATTGTGCTTATTTGAAAACAGGGTCATGAAAATGCAACTGCTAAAAATGGGCCATGGGTGTTTACTTTGGATGCTCCAAGTTTTATGTCTATCATTCAACATGCCAAGAACCGAGCTTTACGGAAGGAAGTTTATGATGTTTATATAACCCGTTCATCTGTTGGAAAACTAGATAATACTCCAGTTATTGAACAAATTCTGAAACTTAGATTGGAAAAGGCTAAACTTCTTGGCTACAATAACTATGCAGAGGTTTGAATTTCTATTCTTCGCTTATACTTATTACTTGTCATCTAGCTTATAGCTTCACAGTTACTTTATATGGCTGGGTGATTGGAAATTTTATTATCAGGTAAGTATGGCAACCAAGATGGCTACTGTTAGTAAATCAGAAGAGCTTCTGGAAAAACTCAGGAGTGTTTCCTGGAATGCTGCAGTTCAGGGTAATATACCCACATATATCTTACTGATTGTAGTTTCTTGTCATTTCTAATGAATGTTTTTGTTACCATTCATTTTCATATCTGATTCCACGTTTATATTGTTGATGTTCTTTTCACTAAAATTCTATTGAAAATGGTTCAAGATACCTATTCCTCTGGATCTTGTAGATATGGAAGATCTGAAGCAGTTTGCCAAAAGTAAAGGCGCCCCTGAAGCTGACAACTTGAACCACTGGGATAATAATATTTAGAAAAGAAACATGTTCATTATATATATATATATATATATATATATATATATATATATATATATATATATATATATATATATATATATATATGTCATTGTCACAAGAGGATATGTCTCAAGCTGACTCTACACTTACTTTATGCAGCCGTGTCAGTGGGTCTAGAAACTGAAACCATAATACCTTGAAGATCTCATCTCTTTTTCTGATGCTTTTGGATCTCTTCGTTTAAGGTATAAACCTGTTTTCATCACACATTAAGCAACTCAAGAATCCAATAAGATATGTCTCTTTTAAGGTCTTCCTATACCACTATGTTTGAATATCATGTCAATTTCATCAGGGAAGCATGTTTAAATTTCATGGAATTGTGCAATACAAAGTGTAATGATAGAGTCTGGATGGATGAGGTGGCAGCAATGTAGGCATATTCTTGTCCCACATGTTATTATTTGTTCAGTGCATAAAGTAAATTACATTTTTGTCCCTGAGTTAACTGATTTTTTTTCCCGATTTTGGTTCCAAAAAGTTTTCTCTTGCAATTTTGGTCTCAAACTGAAAAAGTAATGATAATATATTACAAGAACCTCAAATAAGGACCAAAATTGTAAAAATAGTATATACTTGGGGACCAAAAGTGTAAATTAGTCTTGGATTTATTATGTTTTAATTTGGGTGTATTTTTTTTATTTGTGGCAGGTGTTGGAGATGATTTCTCTACTTACCCCACTTATGGGCTTAGAAATTACTTGTTCTAAACTTCTTCCAACACTTATTACCTTATCTAAAGACAGGTAATTATTTAATTAGATACATTTTTTTAATGTCTTTTTATTCTCCTCTTTCTATTTTCTATTTAATTTATTTGTTTTCTTCAGAGTGTCGAATATCAAGTTTAATGTCGTAAAGGTCTTGCAGTTGTTAATTCCTATAGTCGACCATTCAGTAAGTAACAATATGGCGTTCCAAGAAACTGGACCTATGTGTAAGCGATAAAGTCATATCTCGAGCGAGGATTTCAAATGAGGTTGTAGCTATTATTATTATTATTATTATTATTATTATTATTATTATTGGAGAAGAAGAGATCTCCATGTTGAAGCAACAACTTCTTGAAAATGTTAGTTTCCTATTTTACCCTTGTCCATTAAGAATGAATTATTATTTTTATTTGTTTATTTATCTATCTGGCAGGTGTCTAGAAAGATTGTTAAAGTTGAGGAGAAGCTTGCAAAGGGATGGGGTGGTGAGAATGCTTATCATATGAAAGGGTATCGGTATTTGCTAGTGGATGGTGACAGGAGTATTTCAAGGGCGTCCCCACCTAGAAAAAGTAACAACCCTAACGAAGGTCAGAATGGTCATTTCCCATAATATTAGTTTTTCATTCAGACACATAAAATACTGAAATAAAATATTTATTTTGATAGTAATCATTGCTTGCTATAAATAAGGTTAGAGAAGATGCTTGAATTTAATATCGGGTCAGGTTTATCAATTGATGAAAATAAGTTATGGTTACTTTTTCATGGTTACTTGTGCTGTAGGGATCCCATACTTAATGTTAGTGATTTGTCAATTGAAGCAAGTAGGAACTTAGGTTTGTTTCTTTATCAACTAAGGTATCAAGCTGTGAAGTCCTTTAGCAATATAGGAGAAAGTTGCTTTTATCTCCTGTTTAAAACGCACTCATCCAGGTGTTGTTTTGGTAATTCTCCCACATTCTTCATTTCTTCCATGCAGTTGCCACTTGTCTATTACATACAAAGTCTCGTTTTCATTACCCCATTAAGTTGTTTATGTCTAAAGTGGTTAAACTGGTAAATGTTGTGATTAGAATCCTTTGTAATGCTAGTTGGTAGTTGGTACATTGTTATTATCTTATTGATTTGGTTTGCAAGGGTGTTTTGGAGAACTATCTACTACTGAAGCACTAAATGAATTCCTACATCAATTTAAAGGGAAGCAGTAGGTGTTGCAAGCTAAGGAAAGTTTTTTTTTTAAAATTTAACACCATATATAATATTAAGAAAAATAAGTTTACACATGAATTTTCAACTAAATACATAAAGCATAATGATATCATGATTTTAAGACAGGTAACCTGTCGATTGCTTGGAGTTATACTTGAAGAAAGTACCCCACAGGAGCTTCAGGTGTTGATTAACTTTTCCCTCATTTGACCACTCACATTTGGCACAAGTATTTGCAACTAACATTCCTTGTTTGATTCTTTAATTAATTATATTAGCATATTAATTTTTTGACTTTTATTTGATCAGGTCACAAGACTTATCGAAGCAGGGGTTCATTGGTCTTAAAGAATTATGAAAGGCAAGATGCAACTCTACTTCGTTGGAATTTGATGTTTATCATCTTTGTGTATATCTTTTTAGTTTGTATAGCATTACTTTGCAGAAGGTGTCCCTTGATACGTAATGTAGTATTAGGTTATATAGTTAGGGTTAACCTCTTAATAACAATGTACAATTAGATCCCCTTAATATCAATGTATTACCTTTTTTTTTGACGTGATGCTGTTGGATGAAATTGATTGTTTTGGTATATATTTTTTACATATTTATGTTTTATGCATAAATGAGTATCATAAAGACGCATCGTAAATGCATATCGTAAATGGTTACTGAAGTAATGAAACGCAAATGCGTGTCATCTTCATTTATGACAGGGGATTCCTTGATATGCATTGTGTGTCATAAACACGCGCGTCGTAAGGTTACGACACGCAAATGCGTGTCATCTTCCTTTATGACAGGGCCTTCCTTGATACGCATTGCGTGTTATAACTGCGCGTCGTAAATACGCGTCATCAATGAGCGTCGTAAATACGCGTCGTAACTAGACGACACGCAAAAGCTTGTCGTCTCTCATTATGACATGGCCTTCCTTGACACACATTTGCGCGTCGTCTGAGCGTTTTACGACACGCATTGTGCGTCGTAAAAGGCTGTTTTTCTAGTAGTGTTGCAAATGTTGCAGAGATATTGGATTGGATGGATGCCATTCCTTCCAATCCGTCAAAAGAACGAAAGCTTCAAGTTATTATCAATACCACGATCTAGGTTATTTGAGCTTACACGAACAGTGAGCAAGACGTACAACATGCTTAAAAGTCATGTTTTTTAAAGCATTTTCATTCATTCTTTTAATTGGTTCTCTAGTAGAAATAGCAAAAACAACATATCTTGGACCCAGTGGTTGCCAAATCCCCTTTTATATGAGTCTTTGTAATTGGTTTTTGTTCTCTAGCTTTTGCTAGTTTTTCTTTTATAAAATGTGGTTGTTCAAAAAAATGAACGATCATAAACAATGATATTGTTTGTTCAATTATGTTTGTTTATGTTCGTTCATTTAAGTTTCTTTTATGTTCATATATGTTCAATTGCGTTTGATTATATTACCATATTATATGTTTGTTTATGATCATATATGTTTGTTTATATTTGTTTATATCCATTCGTTTATATTTTTGTTTAGCATGTTCACGAACATAAACGAATGAACATGAACAATATAATTTGTTAAATGAACGAACATGAAGAATAAAACTCATTTATTTATCTATTATGTTCGTTCGTTTGTTCGGCTAACTTAAACGAACGAACAAAAACAACCTTCATTCGGTTCATAGACACAACCCTATCCATAAAGAAAAACTTAGAATGTAAAATGCAAACATAATCTTAGAAAATAATATATCGCAAAAAAATTAGGTTGATATTGGCTCGTTTGGCTCCTTTTATGGGCATATGTTTTTGCACTTGGCTATGGATATGTGGTCTCACTTCTTGTTGATACTATCAAAATAATGAGGTCCGACTGAATCCACCATCACAAGACCAACAGTTTTTCTTTAGGATTAGAGATTATCATATGGAGTTCAGGATGATGGAGTGTGTCTCATTAATACATTAAGATTCTGTCTTTTACCTATAACATATTGTACAATTGGACAATTAGGAAGAGAGAGTATATCGCTCGTTTAGTGTATGTCGTTTACTGAGGGTTAGGGATATTGTCATCATTTTTAAGGATAAATATTTTATGAACGTAAAGTCCTAAATTTCAAACTAGTTTTTCATTTTAAATAAGAGAAATCGTTCAAATCCATTTTCCAAAAGTATAATAAAAACATCCATTTGTTCCAACCATATCATATCATGTACCAAAATCATAGAAATAACTAATCATAGAAAAATCATATAAGTGGAAGTCTTAGGGATGTCAACAGGGGCAAATAGGATGGAGGTTGCATTCTCAGCTGTAACGACCAAAATTTCAATAAAATTTAAACTTTTCAAAAACATCCCAATTCATTAAGTTATTACAAAAAGGTTTTCAATACATTTATTATCAGAGTATTCCCAGGTCCATTTCATAAAATATCAACACGAGGAGCGATACGATCACGCCTTTGCCTTGCCACAGTCTCCTGAAGAACCTGAAAAACATTAAACCACAACTGTAAGCCCGAAAGCTTAGTGAGACACCCCCAAAATACCAACCACATATATCATACACATAACATGCTATATCATAACAAATCACATAATAGTCATGCATATCGGGTCTACTGTGAGACTGGTCCGCCGTGTCGGGCCTTCAGTCCACCTGGTCCACCCTCCGAGTCCAGTCATGTCCCTTGAGTCTGCAGTGTGGTTGGTCCGCCCGCACCGGGCCTTCAACCCACCTGGTCCACTCTCTGAGTCTACAGTATGACTGGTCCGCCCGCATCGGGCTTTCAGTCGGCCTGGTCCACTCTCTGAGCCTCGGCACGTCTGGTCCGCCCTCGTGGGGCCTACAGCCTATTCGGACCGCTCGCTGGGCCTTCGGAATAACCGGTCCGCCCTGGGTATCTTGGCCTACAGCACGAAGCAGGACCCGCCTCAACCCCAACTCCAGTCCAAACAACCATGTGCACATAAACATACAATCACATAACAATTCATATTCAGTCAAACCGATCTAGCAGATCACATAACACAACATACTCTAACAGGATACCGACCTAACCAACCACTAGCATAGCATCATCCTATATACTAGGATACCGACCTTAACCAGGTCTCTAACGAATACCATCCTAACTATCCGGATGCAAACATATCAAAGCAATAACATAACAACAGATACCCGGATCTCAATCCGATAAAGGGCCGGCCTTAGTGCCTTAGACCCTGTTGATATAGTGAGGATAACTCACCTCGCAACTGCTGACTGAAAGGATAAGATCACGCTGCTGCAACCTTCAACCCAAACTCCAACACTGCCAATACCCAAAGGACTGAATCCAATAAATACCAATAATTACCAAATTACCCCTGGAAGTCAATTGGTCAACCCTTGGACAAAGTCAAAGTCAAAGTCTACCCCTGACTGACTCTACTTGCCGAGTCAACCCGATGACTCGCCGAGTCCCCGCACACAGACCCTCCTTCAATTCGCGACTTAACTCGCCGAGTCATCCCTTGACTCACCGAGTCACAGCCTTCCCAAAAGAACTTGGATCCTATGACCAGATTCGCCGAGTCTAAGAACAGACTCGCCGAGTCCACGACTATCTTCAACCTACTCGCCGAGTTGTTCTTCCAACTCGCCGAGTTCTAGGCCATCTTCATCCAACTCACTGAGTTGTTCTTCCAACTCACCGAGTTCCAGTCTTTCTTCAAGCAACGCGCCGAGTACCACCGGGTCTGAATCCATACAGAGGCTTTCCAAGCCATGCAGATGATCCAAACCATAGATCTACTTCTCCTAAGGCCATCCATCACGTAAAGTGGAAAACTTTACGTGAATCTAAAGAGATCTAGGCAATTTACCCTCTAGGGCTAGGGTTTGGGATATGATGGCTTCACCAATTACTCAAGAACACGGAATTTAATGCACATAAGACCTTCTCCACTCCAGATCTGAGGTAGCAACCTCAGATCTATCCTTCAAACTCAAGATACCATAATTTAAGCTTCCCATACAAACCCAAAATGATGAATCTATAAGAACACAGCCCAAGAACGAGATATTACCTGAAAATGAAGCCCCCAACAGCAAGAAATCTGAATCTAAGCAAAGCCCCTTGCTCCAAGCCTCCTAACTCTCCATGATCTCTTCAATAATCACTTCCCCAAGCTCCAAATGCACTCAAATCCTCCACAATCACGTATCTAGGGTTTCTGGACTTCAAGGGAGATCAAGGAGGCTGGGGAGAGGGTATGATGTCCTTTAAATAGGGCTCATCCTCCGGATTTAGGGTTTTCTCCACTCAGCACCTACTCGCTGAGTCCATCTTTGGACTCGCCGAGTAGGCCACTTAACACGCGACCTGAGTCGCGACTCTACTCGCCGAGTCCACCCATGGACTCGCCGAGTTGCCCTTCAAATTCACACTTTTAGTCCTTCAACTCTACTCTTGATATTTCGGGATGTTACATCAGACCCACCCCTGAAATTCCCCCATACCCTTTCCCTCGCCCCCCTGTCCCCCACCCCCGCCACCAAAATTTTCAGCCTCCCCACCCCTCACCCACCCTTAAGTTCCAGGATTACCCACCCGCCCCGATTGATTTTGGGATTTTTTTTCATTGGGGTAAAAGAAGGTTTTTTTAGGCTTAAAGAAGCTATTTTTTTAGGTCAAAATTTATAACGTAATTTTACATGTCAAAAACAAATTGTTATCACATCTCAAAAACGTTATAATAAGAAATTAAAAACATGATTTTTTTGTTGAATTTTGGAATCTCAAAATCATTGCTATTATTTTTTATATTTATAATATATATTAGTATATATAATATATTAATGGGCCCCGATTTGAGAGAGGGGGGGGGGGACTGCCTACCCTCGTCCATGCCCCTGAAACTAAAACGGGGGTTAACCTTGCCCCCGCCCTCAATTTTTTCAACAAATATCCCCCATATGGGATCGGGGTTCGACATGACTTTTTGACATTCCGAAGAAGTCTCCAAAAACGAATCTCATGGATGTGATACAATCAGACCGTGCTCTTCCCCTTGCCACTAAAACAACCTGGAAAACATTTTAATTCAACGAGTAAGCACAAAGCTTAATGAGTTCCCCAAGATACCATATACCCAAGTAAATGTTCTATTCCAACCATAATTGTAACAACGTAAACTTTCAAAACAGTTTTTCATTTTTAAAACACACATTTACTCATAAAGTAATGTCAAAATATAATGTATCAAATGTTGTCATCACAAAACATATCCCAGAATCTCAAAACATAAACTCCACGAGTGTGTATGAATCATGCCGACGCCTTCCCGCGATCATCGCTAGTGCC